CCCAATCTCTCCACAACCTCGCCAGCATTTGTTATTTTCTGTCTTGTTGAACTTTGCTACTAGTGCTGGAGCAAGATGGTATCTCATTGTTGTTCTCCCTCATTTTTTGTCTTCACACTCTGTCAGTTTTACACTACTATGTATCTCTCAAATCATCTACTTCCCTTCTTTTTCACTTTCACCATTTTAGACTAAGCTACCTTAAATCTCTTTCCTGAACTATTTCAGTGGCATCCTAACTGGTCGTCTTATCCTTCTTTACTCTGCTAGTTCTTCCTTCAGCTTGAGCTTTTAGAAAATATAAGTCTGATCGTGTTATCTCTCTTCTTTAAACTCTTTAGTGACCTCGCATTACTTTAGGCCAAAACCCTTTACATGGCCTGCAAGGCCCAGTGCATTCTAGCAACTCCCACCTCTCTATTCTGATCTACTGTTTGCTTTATGTGGTATATCCCTATGACCTTCTTCTAGATCTTAAACATGCAGTGCTTCCTCCCACCACATACTTTCCCTCAAACTGGAATAATCTTTTTCAAATAAATACTTTTGTTTATTCTTCAGATCTCTACCCAGTCATTTCCTCAGAGAAATCTTCCTTGACCCTCCAGACTAAATCAGAGACCTCTGTTAGACATTGTCATGGTACCATGATGTTTCAGACCTAGAGCTACTAACTTTTAATCCACCATAACATTTAACACAGTTATAATTTTACATTTATTTATGTGACTATTTAAGTAATGACTCTTTCCTCTACTAGAGAAGCTATATGTCTTTTTCCCTCACCACTGTATCCCTAACCAAATCCACTGCTCTTGAGTCAATCTCAACTCATGCCTAGCATAATACCTGGAGTATAGCAGGCATTTAATATTTATTTGGTGAATGAATAGGTGATGGGATGGATGGATGAATCACTCAAACCCAACAGAGTTTTAGAAACAGAGTGGATAAGTAGTAAGTGAGTGACTTCATTTGCTAAGGAACATTACTGGGAGACTAAACAGGGTCTGTTCTGTTGTCTTTAAGATCGCTATGAGTCGGACATGACTTGACAGCACATAACAATAACAGAGGATCTAAATTTTGTGTCATGGCAACATGACATAAAGGAAAGTGCAGTGGCTTCAGAATCAGGCATTCTTGGATTGAAGTCCCAGCTCTGTGCCTTATAAATTATGTGATCTTAGGTGAGCCACCTAATTTCTTTGAATCTTACTTCCTGATCTGTAAAAGTGAGATGATAATATTTTCCAGAGCTGCAAGAATTAAATTAATATATAAAAAGTACACAGCACAATGTTTGAGGTAATAAGCAGTCAGTAAGTGTGAAATCCTTTCTCCTTTCCTTCTAAATTTTGATAAAATCTTTATTTTGATAAAGTACAATAATGTTATAGTATTTTTTTGTGTGTTGTCATATCATGACATGCTATAACCTAAGATTCCTTAAAATGCAGGCCTATTGCAGACTTTACTCATAAATGTATATTACCTTTAGAAGTACCAAGAAGATTTCAATTAAGACACAGTCTCTCTAGTAATATGGTTTCACAGCTTGACCCCTGAAGGCATTAGACTGGGACTCTTGTGCACTTCTATAGTTTATATAGCATTCAGTCTCTCAGAGCTTAACTCTTCAGTTGCAGTTTACTTAAACTATCTACATTAGCCATGGATTATAACATTAATTCATTAGCAACCTAGATTTCTTGAATTTTATCATCTTTCAACCATATTCTACCCCTAATTTATTTTTCTCAGTGGTCAATTAACAGGCTTTGGGCCAGGTAACTAAATTCTTTGTTTCTTTTGGTAAGGTTCTATAACAAGTTGTGGTAGAGTTTCCAGAGTTTTTGCAATGAGTATAATACAATCTGAAAAAACTAAGACTGTTGGCATTTCACAAGTGCCTTCTCTAGGGAGTCCAAAGAGAAAAGTAGGGAAATGTTCAATATAGTCTTTTACTTTTGACTAGAGAAAAACAGTTATATGATGTATTTTTTAAAGTTAAGAGTTCCCCTACCCCTTAATGTTTTTTTTCTTCCTTTCCCTCCTTTCACCCCCATTCCAGAAAAATTAAGGTATATACCATGATATAAGGAAAAACACTGGATTAAAAACTAGTTGTTCTGGGTTTAAAATCCAGCTCTCTTTCTAGTTAGCTATACTACCTTAAGTGACTCCAAGCTCTGAGCCTCAGTTTCTCCCTCTGCAAAATCAGGGAATTGAACTAGATGACCTTTGATTTCATGCAGTCACATATGATGTC